TCCAATTATGGTAGACCGTACTGAGAAAAATAACACATTGCATTAATCGCCTGCTTCAAAGCTATATTCTGGAAGTAGGCAAGCAGGTATTATTATTTTAGGGATAAGAAAATCAAGTGACAGAGAGCTGTGACTTGCTTGACATTACAGCACTAGTTAGTGACACTGCAAGGAATCTCCTAATCCAAGGTCCTGCATCCTTCTACAAGATGACTTTAACTATATGGAATTTATCAAAAGAAAAAGAATCAGAGTAATAACAAGGTTCTATATATTCTGCATTTGTATTCCTCCCAACACAAGAAATTCAACTTTATTTTACAAGAGGCGATATACTTTAAAGCAACTGCATGTTTTTCATATTTTTATTAAGAATGTTTTTTCATATTAATTCATCATTTCATTACTGCCTTTGCAGTCCTCTGCTCTACCAACTGAGCTATCAAAGGATTCACCATGATTTCATTACTTAATTGATGAAATCTAAAGGAAGATTTTTTTATAATACTCTGTTAGCACAACCACATACAATGATATCAAGTCACTTTTACCGTACATACACAGCTTTAACTGTACAGAGTACCTGCCACAGCTCACAGTTATATAATGATGATAAATACCTCTCCTATGGAAAATAATTCTATATTTTGGGGCCAACTAAATACATTGTTAAAAATTTGTTTCTATCTGCTTGAATGACAATATATTCACTAAACTATAGGATCCTTTTAGATTTCTCTCAATTTATTGAGGAGTCACGAATATGTGTCTATTGTAAACACCTTAACAACATAAGATTGTTTTAAATCTTAAATTTTGTGCTTAAATGTACTTCATAAGTGATTTTGGCTATCATTATTCAGCAACTGGATAACTAGTATGAAAAAACTAGTTTCTAACTATATAAACTAAATGATGGTTGAATCTGAATACAATGGTGCATAATTCATCTATGTAAAAATTAGAGTTACAATACAATTTTAACTAGGTAACTGGAGTAGATTAGGCCATGTCTACTCTGTGTAACTTAAATCCTCATGAAAATAATTTTAATATCCCAAACTCATATTCTGAGTAAACATCCAAGCAATGAACACTAACTAGTCCAAACATGATTCACTTTTACTTACAGTGTGAAAACTCTTACGCCTTTAGACAGAATTATAAAATTTGAATGATTCTGCCTCTCTCAATAAGCTAAATGTGCTCCATGTACATTCGAGAAGGTAAAGAGCTTCTCAAAAACACCTTAGTGGTAAATTCAGTTGTCTAGTGAGCAGCTCTTGCTGAGATCATTTACTCAGGTACACACAAGCCGCAAGGAGAGATATAGGGCCATTTTAACAGCAAACAATAAAAACAAACAACCCCCCCCCCCCGAACTACTCACAAAGAAAAGTACAGCCCCAGATAGCCTCGCAACTAAACATTTAAGGAATAATATGAATTCTTCACAAACGCTTCCAAAACTAAAAGAGGAGAGACCACTTCCCAACTCATTCTGTGAAGCCATTATTACTCTTATATAATGTCAGACAGATATTATAAGAAAAGATAACTATAAATAAATTTTCAACTTAGAGATAAAAATACTCAACAAAATGCTCATAAACCAAACCCAGAAACATATAAAAAGGATTGTACATATTGATGAAGTGGGTTTTAACTCATGAATGCAAGGTAGTTTAATGTCTGAAAATCAAGTAATGGGATATACCGTATCAATATATCAAAAAGCAGGAAAAGCACTGGACAGTTTATCTAATGATTTTCTTACCATAAAAACATCAGCAACAAAAACAATGAAAAAGTTCAACAAACTAGGTATGTAAAAGAATTTACCAAACCTGATAGGGCATCTATGAAAAACTCATGCCAACATCATATTTGATGGTGAAAGACTAAATGCTTTCCTGTAGGATAAGAAGTAAGACAAGGATGAGCACTCCTGTCACTTCTACTCAACACTGTTGGAGGTTTTAGCCAAGATATTTAGGTAAGAAAAAGAAGCAAAAGGTACACAGGTTAAGGGAAAAAAGTGGAATTTGTAGGTGACAATACCCTATTATATAGAAAATACCAATGAATCCACTAAAGAACTGTGAGGCTTATTAAATGAGTTCAGCAAGGTTGAAGATTCAAAGGCAATATACAGAAAAATACAAAATATATATGAAAGTCAATCATATACAACTGCAATAAAAATATCCTAAAATAAAATCAAGAAAATAGGCTCGGCGCCTGTGGCTCAAGTGGCTAAGGCGCCAGCCACATACACCTAAGGTGGCGGGTTCGAATCCCCAGCCCGGGCCC